GGCTGCGCACTCCAATGGAGGTCAGGGCTCTGCATTGAGGCCCCCATCCCCTTCCTGTCCCCAGCCGGGGGAATCCCCCGTGGAGCAGCCCGACAGCTACCTGTCCATTGAGGAGTGCATGGACGAGGAGATGTTCTACATGGCACCCGGCTGCTCCGACACCGAGGAGCCCAGCGGGGACACTGACTCCGATGACATGTTCCTCAGTGCCCACGATGAGCTCAGCCCGCTGGCAGCCGACCCTGAGACCCCCGCCAACAGCACGGCCCTGGGGGAACGCGGGGCTGAGCTGCAGGATGGGTCCCCACCGCCAGAGCCACGTCCTGCACAGGGGGTGGCTCCGGGTGATGGGGGGCACTTGGAGGACCCTCGTGGGGACGCAGCGGAGGAGGGGGGACAGATCCCAGCAAAAGAGGAAGGGGGTGGAGGTGACAGGGAAGGGAACAACGGATGGAGCAGAACTGAGCTGGGGCTTGAGGATGGAGCAGCAGAAGCAGTGCTGGCTCCAGGTGGGGGAGAGGAGGTGGATGGAGCACCAAAGCAGAGTGAGGAGGGGGACTCCCAACTCCCTTTAGAGGGGTCTCCAGTGCCAGAAGGACCCCTCCAGGAGCCCACGGAGACCCCACTCCCTCAGGAGTCTGTCCCTAACGTTCTCCCAACCCCAATGGCTGCCCCTGAGGTTCCCCCAACCCCAATGGCTGCCCCTGAGGTTCCTCCAACCCCAATGGCTGCCCCTGAGGAACCTCCAACCCCAGCGGCCACCACAGAGGCCACAGACCCCCCACCAGAGGCGGTCACCCCCACTCCCCAAGGGGCAGCAGCCCCTGACCCTTCTCCCACCCCTTCCCCCCCCCCCAGCCCCCGGGCCACCCCCCCCCCGGGGCCGTCCTGCGCCGCGATGGCAGCGCCCCGGTGCGCCTGGCGTCCCGCCCCGTGCGGGTGCAGCAGGCCCGCTCCGTCCCCGTCGTGCCCCCAAAGCCTCAGTTCGCCATCGTGCCCCCCGCCCTCCA